CACTGTTGTCCAAAGAGTATGAAAAACACAGCAATGAGCCACACTGTTGCATTGGTTGACATCATGTACCATATAGTTTTTAGACTCATCTCACATAGACTGTCCTCATACTTCACATCCTCAGAGCACCAAGTTTGTACTCATCCAGTTCATCCAGTTACAGGAAAGTAGTCCCCAATAAAGGCATTACGTCCTCCTGTAATGGTGTAACTGAGTAAAGTGCGGCGACCAGGGGCCATATTCATAAAGCTTCCTAGTGCTAAGAGTTGCTCCTAGTGACGAAATTCTAAGAAAATTCTTAGAATTGTGACGTTTTCTTAGAATTTCCCCTTAAAGTTAAGACTAGGTCTGTAAAGATAAAAGTTATTCACTGCAGGGCAGGCTAACTGACCACGGTGAGAAATGATGCAATAAAAGTGGAGTAAATTACATCTTTTCAAGTCAATTTTGCATGCCGCTGCTTCAGGGCACTTGGATGACAACGGACAAACCGTTCTGGCGTTTTGGAAATGCATTAGCTGAGTTTTATTACATTTTCAAAATGTGGGTTCCATGCACTTCAAGTAGCTGGCTAGCTGTTACCCTCCTATACCCTGAACGAGTTTTGTAGATTAAAAAACTACACTGGACGGCATGAGGGTCAGTAAGTACTGTCTGTATTTTCAATGTAAAGAGGCCATGTCCTTTAAGAGTTTCTTAAGTAGAGGATAAAATGGTGGACACACAAAGGTCGGAGAAACAGTCTCTAAACACAAAATGACAGTGAGTAAATTAAATGCTACAGATGAGACTGTGCAGGGAGAATATTTGTGGTCGATCTCATTTGGGATATGCACACATTTCCCACCTAACGAAAAAACGCGATAACGCCAGAAATAAAATGATCACAATACTAAGATATTTGAAAAACTGGAAAAATGTAACAGTGCAGCCGTGATGACTTGTCTGTCTCAACCTTCCATCAGCAGAGTGATCACACTAACAATGTCAACACTGTCAAACCTATACTGTGATGCAGTTCATTTCATGTCCACTGGATGTCCACATCTTGCAGGCCCACAAAATGGCATGTCTGTGACAACCAATCACATCTGTTAAAAGAAAGCATCACACCCAGAAACAGGGTCAACCACACCCTCTCAGTAAGATAAAAGTTTCTGTCCCTTCCTTGCCCAGGATTTCTCTTAGAACTTTCCTAAATCACTCCTAAGCTAAGACTCCTTACTAAAAGTTTTTAGTCTAAGTTAGGAGGTCTCTTACTGTACGTTCAAACCAACAGTGACCAGAGCTTCCAAAACGGTGGAAGTAATTCATTTTCAATGAGAGCCCAGTGTCTTGGGCGACTGGGGTGACCTGGTCATCAGCCGCGCGTTTTGGGCAACCAAAGCGACTGGAGCGGTCTGGAGGGGAGTTAAAACAAGTTTAACTTTATGGTAATGAGCTCTGACGCGGTTTGGCAACAACCAATCTGAATGCTGACGTGCTTTGATGAAGCGGCTCCCAGAGAACAAGCCATGTAACTTTGGTTCCTACAGCACACTTGTTCCGACAATGGATATAAAGAAGTTTATTACTTGCGTTCGCACCCACACAGTCCTTTTATAATGTGTTGCTGTTCGGTTACAGATACCAAAATAAAAAGAATGAGGCTTGGGACCGCGTCGCGGAGGTAGTTGATTGGTCTGGTGAGTTTTAAATTGTGTAATGATAGTAATAGAGGAGAGAATTGCAGGCTAATGTTGCGACGTAGCACGCAAGTCTTCCTTTATTTATTTTTTTTTTTAAGATATTTTTTTGGCCATTTTGCCTTTAATGGACAGGGCAGGTAAGTGTGAAAGGGAGAGAGAGAGGGGGATGACATGCAGCAAAGGGCCACAGGCTGGATTCGAACCCAGGCTGCTGCAGCAACAGCCTTGTACATGGGGCGCCTGCTCTACCACTAAGCCACTGACGCCCCAGCATGCAAGTCTTCCTTGCTTGGTTGGAATGGGATGACATACGTTTTCTGTTTTCATTGACCAAACGTAACTTTCTGTAGGCCAACTATGAGCTGTTTGACTGGACAACAGCAAGCAGCAACTACGCTGCTTTTAAGCTGGTGGTCCGCTTTGTGGCTCCTTTAAATTGACAAGCACGATCGAACATTCAACAATTCACGTGATGAGCAACTGGAGCGACCAAAGCTGCCACAAATATTTTTGACAGTCGTGCTTCTTGAGGCGTCTGCTAGAGACCTCTTTGGAAGCTTCTGGTTTGAACATACAGGTAGAGTACTCTCAGAATGTTTCTGAACTGTTTCCTTAAACAACACTCAGTAGGTGTTTGGGAACTGAGGACACTAGTTGTTGAAGTTTTGAAAGTGAAATTCTTCCCCATTCTTGTATGATTTCTGACTTCAGTTGCTCGACAGTCCGGGGTCGATTCGACATTGCTGTGTTTTCACTATGATGCCACGCTGTTGTAACACGTAAATGGATCTACCTACATTTGTATAGCACCTTTCTAGTCATCCGACCACTCAAAGTGCTTTTTACACTACACATCACATTTACCCATTCACACACATTCATACACTGGTGGCCGAGGCTACCAAGGATTCAAGGATTTAAGGATTCAAGAAAGTTTATTGTCATTACCGGAACATGTTGGTACATGAAGGCAACGAAAATTGTATTCAGGTCCCGGTGAGGGACACAAAGATAAAAGAAACAGTAAAACACTAGAGTAGAGAAAAAAAAAAACTAAGGCACTAAAAATAACATTGCAGTAGATATCAGTAAATAAAAACATAAATGAATGAATGAATTAACGATTTTTTTTATTTCGAACATGTGCAAAAAACAATAAAACAAACAAATGAAACAAACAAAATTTAATTAAAAACATGCAAAAATGATCTTAAAACACCATAAGCAATAAACCTAAACAATGTGTTACATGTCTGAAAAGGAGTAGGAAGAAGTTTACACTTGTTAACTCCTACCCCTTGTATACATAATCATAAGTCACATGTGCTACCCTATACAACACCAATATAAACAATACAAACACTATCCCTAATTTATATACATCCCAATGTCAAATGTCAATGTCAACACAAATAAGTGTGTAGAGGTATGTGTGAGGATGTAGCACCATAATTGCACATGCCCATTAAGTGCATAGTTGAAAGAAAATAAATTTAAAACATAAATAAAACAAAGAAAAATGTAAACAAAATATAAAAAAGGACCAGCAGCATTTAAAACCAGCAGCAATAAAAGTTCAAGAGTTGAACAGTCTCACAGTCTGTTTTTCAGCCGGGTGGCTACTTGGCATACAAGTAGCCACCTGCTACTCAGTTTTTGAACACACTCACACACCGATGGAAGCATCAGGGATACTTTGAAATGCAGACTGGGGGAGCCAGGGATCAAAGCGGTGATCTTCCGATTGGTGGACAACCCGCTCTACCTCCAAGCCACAGTCACCCCATGTGCGGAATGCGTCTCATTGTCTTGTTGGAATAAGCAGGGACATTCTTGAAAAAGACATTGTCTGGATGGCAGCATATGTTGCTCCTGTATGTACCTTTCAGCATTCATGGTGCCTTCATGGATGTGAGGTTACCCATGATGCCATGGGCACTAACACACCTCCATACCATCACAGATGCGAGCTTTGAACTTTGAGCTGGTAACAACCTGGATGGTCCTTTTGCTCTTTAGCCCGGAGGACATGACATCCTTGATTTCCAAACACAATTTAAAATGTAACAGCACACTTTTCCACTTTGTGACAGTCCATCTCAAATGAGCTCAGGTTCAGAGACCTCAACCATGTTTCTCATGTTGATTTATGGCTTTCACTTTGCATGGTAGAGTCTTAACTTGCATTTGTAGATGCAGTGATGAACTGTGTTTACTGACAGTGGTTTTCCAAAGTGTTCCTGAACCCATGTAGTAATATCCTTTATACAGTCATGGTGGTTTTTAATGCAGTGCTGCCTGAGGGGTCAAAGGTCACGACCATTACATACTAGTTTTTTCTCCAGATGCTCTGAATCTTTTGATGATTTATAGATTGTAGATTGTGAAATTCACAATCTACAATTGAATTGAATCTATCATTGAGATACGTTTTCAAACTGTTTGACTGTTTGTCCACACAGTTTTTCACCAAGTGACCATCCTTGCTTGTGAGCAACTGAGCCATTTGAGGATGCCCCTTCATACCAAGTCATGATATTTTAATCTGTTGCCAGTTAACCTGTTAACCTTTGAAATGTTCCAAACTGCTGTTTTATGAGCATTTCTGTTGCTCCTGTTCCACCTTGTTTGGGATGTGTTGCAGGTGTCAAATTCAGAATGAGTGTATTTTGAAAAAAACAATAAAGTTCATTTTAGTTCAGTTTAAACATTAAATATCTTATCTTTGGACTGTATTCAATTAAACAAAGGTCAAAACAGATTTGTAAATCATTGCGTTTTGTTTTTATTTACGTTTTACACAGCATCCCAACTTTTTTGGAATTGGGGTTGTACATAAAGCAACCTGTTACCTTAATAATTCCATATTTATTTGCACTGTGCTCCTTTTACTGTATTACTGTTTGTAGTCATCAAGTGTTGTTCAGCATTTTTCTGCATTGCTTTTTTTTTTTTTTTAATGATTATGTTTTTGGGCTTTTTGGGCTTTATTGGACAGGACAGTGTGAAGTGGGGAGAGAGAGAGAGAGTGGGGGTATAACATGCAGCAAAGGGTTGCAAGCTGGAGTTGAACTTGTGACCACTGCAGTGAGGCATCACATCTATATATGGGGCGCCGGCACTATCCACTAAGCTCCCAATGCTCCTGCTGTCCTTGTTTTAACTGTACATCTGTTTTTCTGTATGCACATGCCGAGAGCACAAAAAACATAAAAACGTACTCCATGTATGTGTACACATGTACTTAATCATTAAAGATGATTCTGATATCCTTCTGATTCAGTTTTTGTTTCTACGTATTTGTGTGTTTAGGCCAACGATGCCTCAGGGAACACGTGGAACTGGCTATACTTCATCCCCCTCATAATCATCGGTTCCTTCTTCATGCTCAACTTGGTGCTAGGTGTGCTGTCAGGGTAAGTACAGACTGTGAGGGAAACCTGAGTGAAGCATTTCAAGAGATGTTCTTTACATTTTTCTTAGATTCACCCGACTCTTAACCAGACCTGTTTGATCACGTGATGGCTGCATTTGCTTGAGATAATACAAAATGAAAATCCATTGCATTTGTGCAGCTTTTAACCATCTAAACCTTAAGCCTTTTTATAGGCCTTTGCTCGAAAATTGCATATCCATAATGAAATGAATATATCTCTGCAACCACAAGGTCTATTTGAATACTTTTGGTGTCATGGTAAAGGGAACACGTGTGGGATTTGTTAAGATGTGTAAATATCAGTATATGTGTTATATGTGAAGAGTAAATGAAGATGACACACAAATGAAATATTTTGAGGTTCGCCTAAAAAAAAAAAAAAAAGCATTTTCAGGATGAGTATCCCTTTGGAATGATGCAGCTGCAGCTCTAAACCTCTATCAAATCATAGTACAATATGTGAACATTAACTCTACAAAGGTTGACTCTGATAAAGTGAAGCAGAACAATATTAGAGAGGTTTTAGTACAGAAATTTCAGGCGAACTCTCCAAAATTGCACCATGTTTGCATTTGATTTTTGTCATGTACAATCCTATAGCTTTCATTTTTTGTTTCTGTAAATCCCTACTGATGTTTAGGATATACACATACAACTGTCCGTTTCATTTTTTTCCTCCATTTCCCACTCCAAACTGACCAATACACACCTACTACATTTGAACCTGAGTTTCTATTCTGAGCTTTGGAGGCCCGTATCTCCGCGACGGCTTGGCCAATTTGAGCAATTGGCACCTTTTACACAATGCAGATCATTTACATACAGTACAGGCCAAAAGTTTGGACACACCTTCTCATTCAATGCGTTTTCTTTATTTTCATGACTATTTACACTGTAGATTCTCACTGAAGGCATCAAAACTATGAATGAACACATGTGGAGTTATGTACTTAACAAAAAAAGGTGAAATAACTGAAAACATGTTTTATATTCTAGTTTCTTCAAAATAGCCACCCTTTGCTCTGATTACTGCTTTGCACACTCTTGGAATTCTCTCCATGAGCTTCAAGAGGTAGTCACCTGAAATGGTTTCCACTTCACAGGTGTGCCTTATCAGGGTTAATTAGTGGAATTTCTTGCTTTATCAATGGGGTTGGGATCATCAGTTGTGCTGTGCAGAAGTCAGGTTAATACACAGCCGACAGCCCTATTGGACAACTGTTAAAATTCATATTATGGCAAGAACCAATCAGCTAACTAAAGAAAAACGAGTGGCCATCATTACTTTAAGAAATGAAGGTCAGTCAGTCCGGAAAATTGCAAAAACTTTAAATGTGTCCCCAAGTAGAGTCGCAAAAACCATCAAGCGCTACAACAAAACTGGCACACATGAGGACCGACCCAGGAAAGGAAGACCAAGAGTCACCTCTGCTTCTGAGGAAAAGTTCATCCGAGTCACCAGCCTCAGAAATAGCAAGTTAACAGCAGCTCAGATCAGAGACCAGATGAATGCCACACAGAGTTCTAGCAGCAGACCCATCTCTAGAACAACTGTTAAGAGGAGACTGTGCCAATCAGGCCTTCATGGTCAAATAGCTGCTAGGAAACCACTGCTAAGGAAAGGCAACAAGCAGAAGAGATTTGTTTGGGCCAAGAAACACAAGGAATGGACATTAGACCAGTGGAAATCTGTGCTTTGGTCTGATGAGTCCAAATTTGAGATCTTTGGTTCCAACCGCCGTGTCTTTGTGAGACGCAGAAAAGGTGAACAGATGGATTCCACATGCCTGGTTCCCACTGTGAAGCATGGAGGAGGAGGTGTGATGGTGTGGGGGTGTTTTAATGGTGACACTGTTGGGGATTTATTCAAAATTGAAGGCACAATGAACCAGCATGGCTACCACAGCATCCTGCAGCGACATGCCATCCCATCCGGTTTGCGTTTAGTTGGACGATCATTTATTTTTCAACAGGACAATGACCCCAAACACACCTCCAGGCTGTGTAAGAGCAGGCAACCAGGTGGATCTCTGAGGTGCGCCCGTGACCCCTAACAAGATAAACATGTTGGGAACGTAAATTAGGCGTCACACCAAGGCACCAATTATGTTGGGATCAACATTTCTAGGCGTCATACAGAGGCACCAATTATGTTGGGAACAACAATATTAGGCCTCACCAAGGGGACACCATTAATGTTGTAAATTGGCTATCGGAAATAATTAATAATTGTAATATTCCCTAGGATTCTCAAGACGTGAATGTTTGATTTGGAGGGCTGCAACCATAGAATCTATCTCGTCAGCAGTAGAAGAAAACTCCTCTGTCATTGCTTGACGGGACTTTGTGTAGTTATTTCTAACACTGGGACGCTGGCACTGAAAAAACTTGTGGACAGCTTTGTAAGAGCTGGTCTTCCACAAAAGTTTAATCTTCTCCCTTTTGGTTGCATGTGGCAGGTCAACTAGACAGTTGTCCACTGCAGGTCTCGGGGGTTGGAAAGCTGCACGAGTGAAACTGTCAAACATCTGTGTTTGAGAGGGACATAGGACAGAAAATCTTGTAGAAGATAAACTACATGTCTCCTCAACTTCTGTGTCTGAGACGTTGGATGTCAGGTCACTGTTACCTCTGTCTGTTGGTGGAGGTTGGGGAGCTGACTTGATTCCCAAAGACTTAGGGTCTGGTGGGAAAGATTTCCACTGACTGAGCGGAGGAGGTGCTAACCTCTCATCCAGGGAAGAGTGTGAATCAGAGAAGCCGGGATCACACTGGCTGTAAGACTGTGCTGGGACTAGATGTTCTGATTTAAGCCTAAACAGTTCTTCTTTATGTGAGCAGAGGTCTAACTCTGCTGAATGCAAGTCATCTAAATAGCACATGGCTTTCTTGTTAGCCATCTGTGCTTCATTGAGGAGAGAAGCATTTAGAGTTTCTACCTCCTTCTCCAGAGCCTTCTCTTTATTGCTCTCACTGGGACTCAATCTGCTGAGTTCAGGACTGCCAGGGTTTAGGCTGTGTGCAATGGAAGAGATAAACTTCTAAACAGGGGTTCTCCATTGTTAGTTCTGGAAAGGAGGGTGAGGCTGAAACAGGTTGTCTTAGTACAAAAGTCAAATGTGTAGTTGGCTATGGTGTTGCTTCGAAGACAGCTTCAAGTGTAAGTTGTGAGTACACTAGCCTGACAAAAGAATGTGCTGGCCTTCACTGTGGGGGTACCTTCCTATGGAGGAGGGGTAGCTACAAAACAAACAGGCACGAAAGATTAGAGCAGGAATTTACGACTGTAAATTTGCTTACAAGGATAACAACATGCACAAACTAAAATGCGTGGCAGTATCAGCTAGAGTGTTGTTTCTTCAAGTTAACTCAAACTGGAACTTGGATCGTAACAGCGAGGTACAAAACTTCACAGGGCTAGTAGCACGGTGTGGCTCCTATGCTCTATCTCTTACTTAGGCCCCGTTTATATGACAACAATTTCAACTGAAAACGGTAAACTTTAGTTGCATTTTGGCCGATCGTTTACATGACAGATGCATTTTGGGTGCCTGAAAACGCAACGATTCGAAAACGGGTTCCAGAGTGCAACTTTTTGGAAACGACAGCATCTCTGTTGCTTTGAAAATTTACACTGCCACCCATTGGCCTGGCATGCATACTACAGCGTTTCCAGTCAATCAATCAATCAATCAATCAATCAATTTTATTTATAAAGCCCAATATCACAAATCACAATTTGTCTCACAGGGCTTTACAGCATAGGACATCCCTCTGTCCTTAGGACCCTCACAGTGGATAAGGAAAAACGCCCCCCAAAAAAAACCTTTAAAGGTAGGATCTGGAGGATTTTCTGACAAAACAAAATATAGACATATACAAACGAAATTCTGCTTAATCATCACTTATGGGCTTCTACTCATGTGTGGTGGTGACTCTGTTTGCAGAGCTCCTGCCCTTTAACTGTATTTTGATGTATTTGTGAGCTAGGACCACTTCTGGGCAGAGATTTCCCCAGCCAATGAGAGAGCGCAGGTGCCGTGCCCGAGCGTGTCCGAGTGTGCACCAGTGCGAGCCTTGCCTGGACCTCTTCTGTGAAGCCTTCTTCCGTATCTCCGGGCTCCGTACACCCGGGAGAGTTGAGCCTGATAGGAGGGGCCAAATTTTAAAGTGTGTTTACAAACAGCAACTGGAAAATCCTCCAGACCCTACCTTTAACGGGGGAAAAAAACTGTAGAAACCTCAGGAAGAGCAACTGAGGAGGGATCCCTCTTCCAGGACGGACAGACGTGCAATAGATGTTGTACAGAACAGATCAACATGATAAATTAACAGTAATCCGTATGTCACAATGAGACAGAGAGAGAGAGAGAGAGAGAGAGAGAGAGAGAGAGAGAGAGAGAGAGAAAGAGAGACAGAGATGCAGGACAGACGGTAATGACGGTAGCTTACAGCAACATTAATGAAAGTAATAATATTATAATTATAATTCTGGCTGTTGTGGTACAATATGTTGAAAGTATATATTAATATCTGATAGTATACATATGTGACAATAATCATATGTGTATAATAACAGTAGAAGTATGACTAATGACTAATGATGGCAGCAGCAGCAGGAGGCATCTGGCAGGACCACGGCAGCAGCACAACCACACACGTCACGCTGTCCAGGCACCGCTGCGATATGAGTTAATCTGAGAGACAGTGGAGCACAAAGGCTCCGGAGAAGAAGCCGAGTTAGTGACATCCAGAATGGCCGAGTTAGCAAGATGCAGTAATAGAAAACGAGAGAGAGAGAGAGAGAGAGAGAAGGAGAGAAGGTGCCCGGTGTATTATAGGGGGGTCCTCCGGCAGACTAGGCCTAAGTCAGCCTAACTAGGGGCTGGTACAAGGCAAGCCTGAGCCAGCCCTAACTATAAGCTTTATCAAAGAGGAAAGTCTTAAGTCTAGTCTTAAATGTGGAGACGGTGTCTGCCTCCCGGACCGCAACAGGAAGATGATTCCACAGGAGAGGAGCCTGATAGCGGAAGGCTCTGGCTCCTGATCTACTTTTAGGGACTTTAGGGACCACGAGTAACCCTGCATTCTCAGAGCGCAGTGTTCTGGTGGGATAATATGGCACTATGAGCTCTCTAAGATGTGACGGAGCCTGACCATTTAGAGCTTTATAAGTTAACAGTAGGATTTTAAATTCAATTCTGGATTTTACAGGGAGCCAGTGCAGAGAAGCTAAAACAGGAGAAATATGATCTTGTTTCTTAGTTCCTGTTATACACGTGCTGCTGCATTCTGAATTAGCTGGAGAGTTTTTAAGGACTTACTAGAGCTATCTGATAATAGAGAGTTACAGTAATCCAGCCTAGAGGTAACAAAAGCGTGGACCAATTTTTCTGCATCTTTTTGGGTCAGGATAGGCCTACTTTTCGCAATATTATGCAGATGAAAAAATGCAGTCTGTGAGGTTTGTTTTAAATGAGAATAAAAAAGACAGATCTTGATCAAATATTACTCCGAGGTTTCTTACGGTAGTGCTAGAAGCCAGAACAATGCCATCTAGAGAAACTATGTCATCAGATAAAGAGTCTGAGTTGTTTGGGGCCAAGAACAATAACTTCAGTTTTGTCTGAATTTAACATAAGGAAATTGGTGCTCATCCAGGTTTTTATGTCTTTCAGGCAATTATGAAGTTTAGTTAATTGATTACTTTCTTCTGGCTTCATCGATAGACTGACATATTCATCTTGACACAGCCAGGTTTCAGTGAGGCTGAGTAAATCAATATGATTTTCTGATATTAATTTGTTTACTAACACTGCTTTCGATGATAAAGACCTGATATTTAACAGTCCGCATTTAATTCTCCTGTTTTGTCTTTCTGTCACAGAAGAGGTTTTAATTTTAATGAGGTTGTTATGCACAACTCCTCTTTGCTTCATTTTAGATTTAGATAATTTAGGTGGTCGGGGGACAGACACTGTTTGTATAGAACTATGGGTGGGTAACTGCACTAAAAGCTCAGAGAAGCATATAGGACTGTGTCTCTGAGTCCTGATCTCAACTCTGGGTTGTCACGGTTTTGAATTACTAATAAACTTTGCCAGGTTTCTAGATATGAGAGCAGCTCCATCCAAAGTGGGATGAATGCCGTCTCTCCTAATCAGACCAGGTTTTCCCCAGAAAGTTTGCCAATTATTAACGAAACCCACATCGTTTGCTGGACACCACCTGGACAGCCAGCGATTAAATGATGACATGCAGCTAAACATGTCATCAGTGGTCAGATAGATATAGCCTACAGTAGATTGTGCGGCTCCGTGTGAACGGAGATCGTTTCAATAATGTCATCATATAAACGCATACGTTTTTTAAAACGCAAAGGACAGACTTTTCCGTTTTTAGAGAACACGTTGTCGTCTAAACAGGGCCTTAGGCTGAAATGCTTGGCAGTAACAGACAGTTCTCACGTAAGCTCTCTAGGTTTCACAAGGACAGTGGCATGCTGTGATGAATTACAAAGGAGAATAGGAACAATACAATCAACTGCAAATTTTGACAGCTTGACCAGGCTGCATTGAATACGTCGTATTTAAATGCTAAACCAAAATCTTACAAGTTTCTACAGGGTAGGTCAACTTGAAAAACTGGCAGCAAGCAAACTCTAGTCACTATGAGGGCTTAAGATAGCGGTGATCAGTTTCACAATGTCTCTCAAATTGCTTTATCTTTATGAATGAAATAATTGCACCACAATGTACTTACACAATGTAAGACTTTTGGGTAGTCTAAGAATGAAATCAGTTTCACAATGTCTCTCAAATTGCTTTATCTTTATGAATGAAATAATTGCACCACAATGTACTTACACAATGTAAGACTTTTGAGTAGTCTAAGAATGAAATCAAATATCAGTCATGTACGTTGATATTAATATTGCACAATATGAATGAATGTCAACAGTACTACGCCTCACTACGGGGCACCAATTATGTTAGGAACATAAATTGGGCGTCACATGAAGGCATCAATTATGTTGGGATCAACATTTCTAGGCATTAGTGTTGTCACGATACCAAAATCTTTGTTTCGGTACCCATACCAATATGAATTTCGATACTTTTCGATACTTTTCGGTACTTTTCCTAAGGAAAAGTCCTTTTGGCTACAAAGCTTTAGAACAATAAATAGTAGGGGTGTAACTGTCACAGTTCATCTCTGCCTCACCACTCTGCACCTGCCTGCTTCAATCTGCCAATCAGACACACCCCTCTCATCAAGCCAACTCCTCTCACCTGTGCTCTCTGCACTGCTCTGGCTGCATTTAAGCCCCTGCTCCACACTCATTCATTGCCAGATTGTTCTCGATGCTTGCACCAGACTCTCCAGCGTTTCTCTGCCTGATCTCCCGGTTACGACCCTGCTTGCCTCCGACTATCCTGCCTTACCGATCTCCTGGAAATCACCTCAGCCTTCCGTCCCCGACCACGATCCTTGCCTGTCCCTTTCTGGGTTCTGCCTGTCTGCTCCCTTGGCTATCCGGTGATTACCTGATTCAGCTCTACAGAGTGAGTGTTACTCCCGTCTCCTCTGTGGCTTCCTGCAGTTCTGTGACTCTGATTATTCCTTCACTGAGTGAGTACAAGACTGAGTTTTACGGACATTACTCACCAGTGTCCTGGTTTGGTTCGGCTGAGCCTAACCTCCAATCCCCACTAAAGACTGTTAAAGGCCAGCGGCCAGGAGACAGACTGTTTTGCCTACTGCCATTGTTTGCTGGACGTGTGCTAATTAAGTTTGTTACCAACGATACCTGCCTGTCTTTGTCCTGCTATTGGGTCCAATCCAAACCCATTACAGTAACAGTACCAAAAAAATCATGGTTCTGTAAGTACCTCGGTACAGACGTCACGGTTTGGTTGCTCAAATGTTTCACCAAGTTGGTGTTATCTCGTTGTCTCCCTTTGCGAGGCAGACTTTCTCTTGTCTTTTTTCACGTGCGCCAGCTGCGAATGTTGATACAGATGTTGTCATACACACCACTTGTGCAATCTGTGCTCCAGTAGGAATAAGAAAGGCGTTTGTGTGCATAAATGAGTAAAATAAATTAACTAAATTAATGAATTGAATAAATCTCAAAGTACCGGTATTTTCCAAATGCAGTATAGTACCGTTTGGAATACTCTAGTACCACGGTACTGTTTTAGTACCGGTATACCGTGCAACACTACTAGGCATCACACGGAGGCACCAATTATGTTGGGAACAACAATATTAGGCCTCAACAAGGGGACACCATTACTGTTGTAAATTGGCTATCGGAAATAATTAATAATAATTATGTTAAATAATGTGACTTAATCAACAATCACCTCGTGGGGCACCACTCCTGTCAGGGGAAAAATGATAGCCAGTTAAAGATATCGGGCTCTAGTTTCCCAGCGCAGCGCGGAGTAGCTGTGCCAGACGCACGGTGTGCCAAACTTGCAAAAACCGCCTAGCCACACCGAGTTGGCGAAGCGCAGGTGCGCTGCGCCTCCGCCTCGCCCGGTCTACGAAACTAGAGCCCATCAGTGTCATAAAATACACTTAACTATTAGTTTAGAATTTTTGATTAATAATTAAATTAATAACCATAACCAAAATTAACAGTAAAGCCTGAAGGATTTCAGAGTTCTTGATGCAACAGAGGTTGACTATTCATTCACTCTTGTGCAACATTAAACAGACAGCAGGTATAATTCCAAAGAATTACATTTATTCATAAAGTGAGTAAAGCAAAACCAAAACACACAAATCATAACTAACAACTATATACAAGCTTGGTGAGTATATGTGTGTGGGTGTGTGTGTGTGAGAGAGAGAGAGAGAGAGAGAGAGAGCAGGGGCGTGTCTAGAATTTTTTTCTTGGAGGGGGCAAGCTAGGGGCACAGACTGTGGAAGGGTGGCACACTGAAATTACATTTTTTTTAAATGTCCCACAGTCTTAGATCATAATAAACAGTAGGCTGGGGTATGAATAATAGAACTATTTTATTTACCCAAATAATGCACAAAACAGTGTAGCATCCAGCATTTAGAAATCTTATCTGACTGAGTAAAATGTTTTTTGTTTGTTTGAGTGGGTTGATCTGTGCTTTGGAAGAGTATATTCAGTGGTCGAATTGTTAATTTTTAACAAGGGGGATGCAATGTAGCTTTGATTTTTTTACGTGCACACATCAAATATGACAGCACAGATGTGCAAAATTAATCAAGATAAAGAAAAATGGCATGACCTATACCTGCTGCCTTTAAAAACACAAATAATGCAGTAGTATTGCTATTGCAATACAGACAAAAACATTTTAGAGTATAAATAAGATTAGTTCTGAAAAAGCTGTGAAAATTAATCTTAGAGTCACTCTTATCCTATAGACATTTCCTTAGCCAGTTATAATTTATCCTTACCTGTGAAGCCTTGGACTGATAATTGGTGCTGCTGTCAGGTCCCTGTCCTGATACCTGCCTGGTTTCTCCCTGTCAATCTTCTATCTATTGCAATAATATAGATAATAAATGTGCAAAGCAAAATTTATCATAGGATTAAGAATAGTAGTGGTGACATAGCTGTGGAAATTGATCGCAAAGTCACTTTTATGCTCTAGATATTTTCTCTCAGCCAGTTATAATCTCTTCTCACCTGTGAAGACCCTGCATGATCATCCTTGCTGGCCTCTGGTCCACTGTCTCCTCACTGACCCTGCTCTTTATATTGCGGCAATAAAGATTAAAAAAATATGTGCAAAGCAATAGTGAGCACAAGTTCTTATTAAGGAGGAGTGGTTTTACTCCTAGCATGAAACTAGCTAGCAAGCGATTTAACATAGGTAACAATAACATTAGTATTCTTGTTAACTAGCTTAACTTGATACATTGGCATCTATTAATTAGTCATCATTTAGCTGACATTTCTACATGCAACAGCATTACTCAACTTACACGGTTTGTTTGGAAGAAACTGTGCAAGGGTTATTCCTTCTTGCTGGCTGGTTTGCTGAACATAGTTAACACAGCGGCACTGTCCAGCAGCACACCTCTCATCTGTGTGCCATTGATTCTGATCACAACATGACAGCGTGTGTATGCGCCTGGCGCCGCCTACTCATGGTGCTTTTAAAGACGGCTCGGAAAAACACATTACCACATGTTGAAAATGAATTGAACGGTTGTAACGGCTGTAAAAAACCTGGTCGGGAGCAGGTTTTCTTCAATGAACCTCGAGTTTCTAGCTGCCTCCTCCCTCTTACGCCACACACGCAGTGTGATTCATTCATTCATTCATTTAGTGTCAGCGAGTTTGATCATCTGTCCTCAAGGTAAAGTTGGATCCTAAAGTGTGTTTTAGTTCTAAATCTACTTTTTTCGACCATGGCATGTCCGTTCTTGGAGGACCCTGTGGACAAAGAGGCAGTGTTACTGAAGAGGGAGTTACGCATTCGTCGGGAGATTATTCACAGGCCCAGAATTGACGTATTATCATTTCCAGAACATTTTCTTTTTGAACGGTACTGTTTCACATCACAGTCCATCATTTATATCCATAACCTCATCCATCATTACATAACCAACGTCACCAACCATGGACGTGCACTTTCATCTACCAGATTCTTTGTGTTGCTCTTCGTTTTTTGCAAACGGGAGTTTCCTGTATAATATCGGAGATGCAGAAAATATCAGTAAGGCCACTGTCTGCAGAGCTGTGAGAAAAGTGTCCCTAGCTCTGAAACGTCTATTAAACTCTTTTGTTGTGTTCCCTGGACATAAACCTGTGAGGGTCATCAAGGAGGAGTTCCACAGGATTGCAGGTGAATGATGTAGAAATCAGTTAAAATTTATGATTATAAATAATTATAAATCATATTCAGTTAATGACATGGTGCTGCAACCTCAGACTGGGATTAGTCATTTTAATTTCTTTTAGGATTTCCCGGTGTGATAGGGTGCATTGATGGAACCCACATTCCCATCATTGCTCCCTCACAAAATGAAGGAGACTATGTGAATAGGAAGTCCATTCACAGCATTAATGTACAGGTAGATTGACTGTCTCAAAATGTCAGACTGCATCACTGCAAAAACTCAAAATCACACCAAGAATATGTCTTATTTCTAGTCAAAATGTCTCATTTCTAGTCAAAACAAATCACACCTAAAAGTAACTTGTTTTTAGTTTTAGTTTTTCACTTGAAAAATAATTAGAAAAATCTGTCAGTGGAGCAAGTTTGTTATTTCTATTTATTTCAATTGAAAATGTGCTTGAAACAAGTGAAAATTGTCTTAAAACAAGTTACTTTTGGTTCATTCTATTGGTTGGGGGGATTTTGACAAGGTTGGTACACAAAAAAATCCAAGAGCAGTGCAGATATCTGAGAGGCTGAGATGGAAGAAAGAGTCGCTTTGTAGTGTGCTGTTTTGTTAGCTGGCAGAGGAAGGTGGGAAAGAGCTGTGGTTCCAGATGCAGTCTTTGCTGTGTCCTTGTTCCAAAGGTGTAGATCCAAGGAAGCTGGTCACTTGGGGTCCTTGCAGAGTTAGATGCTGGGGTGCTAATTAAACTTGGTTCTCCTTGTCGCTGGAAAGTTACCTCTAACTTCTCTGGTTCAGGTTTAGAGAGCCTGTGCGCAATGGTCTTCCCTTTAGTGGTTTGGGGCAATGACTGAGTTGGACAGTGTCCAGGAGAAAAAGGAGGCCTGTCTGGGCACCTCTAGGCCGGTCCACAGCTCAGGGGAAAGAGGTGTAAGCTGCTCGGCAGCTCCCGAGTAAGAGAGCATCTGGGCTGGTCCAGGCCCAGCCGAAAAAAGGAAGACTCTGAGAGAATGCATAACTTATCTTAGAGTTTGTTACAGTGAAATCACAGAGGGGCATGTCACTGTAACAGTACTGTCCAATCAAGTTTGACGACTGGTCTCACTTGGAGGTGTGAGGTGACCCCCTGTGGAGATGAGTGTCAAATAGCTGTCTTTGTTTGAAGAACAAAGAGTATTCAGAGAAGAAAAGCCCTCACATGTACAGTTTAGATTTTAACAAATGACAAATCATCTGTGGTCTTGTGAATCCCAACAAGCAGTTAAGGAAAATAAATGAATACATTTGGAATCCCAGTAATGTATTAATCTATTACATTTCCAGAATATGTGAATAAGGTTACTTGTCTCTGGTTTGCATCTAGGAGAAAGATCCAGAATTGATTAATTTATGATATAGAGTCTTTGTGGTGTAAAATAGGTTCAGTGGATAATGTTGGAATTCAAAAGGTCATGACAGCTGTTACATGAGATGGATAGTGCTTCCTCACATACAGGCCTCTAGTTTCCCGGCGCGGCGCAGGGTGGCGCAGGGTGGCGCAGGGTGGCGAACCCCACGCAGAGCTAGTTTCGAGCAGCACAACCCAAGGCGCGCTCAGTTTGGTAGTTTGGCAGACCGAGGTGTGCTGAGATGGGTGTGGCGGTGCAGCAGAGGGAGGTGTCGACAGATCCAGCTTGGCGCAGTGACAGTTTTGTGCCAAAA